TCGAATAAGACTTCGGTTCGTGCTGAAACTGTGGCATCTTGTTCGGATCTCTAGTGCGAATATATTCGGGCGGAGAATGAGCGTTCGGCGATGCATATTTTATTTCCCCGGCAAAAAACAAAATGTGGTTTTGTTTTGGACATCCTGTAGGTAAACTTTTCGAACTACAAGAAATCACGCATTTACTGCGGAAGCACAGCGAGAACACTGCATACACGCGTGTTCATGCCTTTTTCCAGAACAAGTTTTGGACGAAAATTTAAAAAAAAAAAGTCGATGATGATACAATAAAAAACAAAACCCATTTCAATTATTCAAAGTTTATCACTTAAGTTGGTGCCACACGTAAGCGCATTCGACAAACGCGGGGCATGGCGATTTCCGAGCATCTCAATATTGATCCGCAACCAATCAGATTGTGGCCTTTGCCAAAAGGAACTCCGAATTGAACCAATCACGAAGCAGGAAGTGTTCAACATAATCAGCCGCTCCCTGCGTTTCCTCTTCTGTCGGCTCTGCGCATGCGCAGAGCCGACAGCTCTCCGACGTCACGCCGTTGCAGAGCCGAGCAACTCTCTGACGTCACGCCACTGCAGGGTGGCGCTGCCATCGGCTCTGGGCATGCGCATGCGCGGCAACCACGGCTCGGGCGAACCGTGGTTGCCGCGCATCCGCACAAACCGGATGTGGGCGTTAAGTCACCTGGTGTGGGCTGACAGGGGCTTCTTTATAGCGGTGTCCACGATAACACTGGAGAACACCTGCAATTTTGTGTTTGTCGTAAGGGTGTTGCGAATTACACACCCGGGCTAACGGAATTTTTTTTTTTTAAATATGGGTGCACCCGGTCTATTTGTTTTCAGTTTCGCTTATGCGTGTTGCGAATGACTGTTCACTGCACCTATTCTATGTTACGTTATATATTTTACTACCTAAAAAACGCCATTAAATTGGGAGAAAGATGCTTAATGGAACACTAACCCCCCCCCCCCCCCCCCCCCCCCCCCCTCCAAGACCCCAATGGGTTTTCTTTTTTTTTTGGAGAGACTATTTAGTATGGTGTCGGGAGACTACTTAAACAAGATTTTGCTTCAGAGCCGAAACGGAACTACGAGCACGGAAGCGCTTGGCCGTAATCACGTAACTACACCCGACCACGCTTTTTTTTTTTTCTCCGCTTCTTTGTTGTGTGAAGCAGACGACGACGACGAATTTGCGTGCTCCGTTTGCCTCGCGATTATTTCGTACTTATATCCATTCCGCTCGATGTTCTGCCCTTGAAGATCGATTGGCCGGTAAAACGAACGGCAGTTCCCAAGCAGCGGCGCCACGTTCGTCACAGCGTTGGTCCGTTGCCATACTGAGACTGACGTGGATATGTACTTCCTGTGATCGGCGAAACATTTTATTTTTTCGATTGGCATGTTTGCAGTTTTTGGAGGCCACAAAAATTAGGTTCTTACTATTTTCTATTTTTAACATTGAATGTGTGCCTTAGACTACCCACTACTTTGAATATATTTGGTGCACATTTTTTGAACGCTACATGACCATAGAAAAGAGTGAGCGCGACTGAAACCGGCCAATTTTCGACCGGCTGTTTTCGGGCGGAACGAAGACGACTTTCGAGCCGCAAATTATATTCTGGGTAGTTGCACTCTTATAGGTTATGTTCAAATAAAACCCTCGGCGATCATAAATGCTCTGTCAGTGTCCCTTTAAATTAGAAAATAAATGAACACTATATAATAAAATATATTTGTTTGGTGGAGGTTTCAGCAGTGGGACTTGGGCTGCCCAGCGGGAAACAGAATCGAGACGTCGTGTTCTGCTTAAAAAGGGCTTCGTGTTTTTCCGCTGTCGATGAATAACATTGTCAGCGCAGTGCGGCTGCTCTAAAGGGGGCTATACGGCGTAGTTTTTTGAAAAAAAATATGGTGGTCTCTTATAGTTAATGGTCCAGCACCAAACTATCCGGTAGTTGATCGAGTGGCCTCCAAAACAGGAAAAGAAAAAACCGATTGAAAATTAATTTGATGGTTAGGGCAAAATCACAGCCAAGCTTAAAAAAGAAAGTGTGATGTATGTGTGTTTATACAGCTTGAAGTTAGTCTGCCTCAACGGGCAACTTGTCGCTCAGATGTAGATGAGCAATCTAACCAGTGGAGTACAAGCGCTAGCCTCGGGTCTTTAACGTGCACCACGCAGTAGTGACACGCAACCGCACGCCGGTACGATCCTCATCCAGATCGAAACGGGCAGTGGTGATAATTTAACCTAGGATTTCTGGGTTCACGGATCCCGGGTTTCAGCTTTCCACTGCCTCATTGACCGGAGTCTGCTTGAAAAGGTCAATTACAATTCTAGGTTGATGGCTCATTTTTTTGTTTTACTAGATCCTGCGGTGCTCAACTGAGTCCTGAGACATACACTTGTAACAAGAGGTTTCGATGTTCAAGGCAAGATTTTTTTTTTTTACTACATCTTGCGAATATTCATTAGGTCTTGAGTGAGACATTTGTGACGAAAGGTTTGAGTGTTCAGGATGGGGACTTTTTCTGTGTCCTGCGACAGTTCCTTCCACATTAAGGAAGACAGTTTCAACAAGTTGCAGCGTTTAAGCCTGGGAGTGTCACTTCGTCGTCCGACAGCTCATCGAAACCCGAGAAAAAAATGCTTGTGACAAGGGGTTTCAGTTTTGAAGTCGGGAACTCTTGCTTCGTCTTGCAACAGTTCATCGAGTTTTGGGAGAAAAAGACATGCAACAGGGTGTTTGTGGGCGTGAAGAAGGAAATAATTTATTGTCCTATTTGGGGGAGGGGAAAGCGATGGAGCGCCGGGACAACGGCATCCTTGGGTGTGATCATCCTCCGAGGTCCGTGACCCGGGTCCGAGAGCTTGATGTCGCTGCAGAAGTAACGAAAGAAGAACAGAACGAGAATGAATGTAAACACTTGTTCCCATTGCATTGCGATCTAGTCTACAATGACACTGTTTGAGTTACTCTCGATCTGCTTCCCCCTACGCTTAAAACACGAAGCTAGTTAAAGGTAGTACGAAGAACTTGAAAGCAACCCAAAAGAAAGCTCAAGAACCTTGTGGCAGTTTAATTGGGGCGTCTTGGGGGCTCATTCTAAACATTTCCCAGCTCTAACGGCTTAAGAAAGAGATTCTGTTGAGGGGTTGAGGGTACGTATATGAACGCATAGGATGCGAACGAGCTTCCCATGATAGTGATCGGTGATCGTTAGCTCCCTGCTGGGGCTTGGAGCGTACGAGCCGCGGAATCGCCCCGTAAGGCAGCATTCTGGGTGTCCAAGTGGTTTCCGAGAACACTATTATCGTTTTTATTAATCAGTTAGAGGCTGTCAAAGATCTTTGAGTACTAGTTTTTGCCGCAGGTTAAGACAGTAAGTTAATGTTTTACTTATTGAAGATAAAGACATTAACTGAGAAGATGTGCGTGTGCCTATCCGAAACAATTTTTTTTTTGTGGTGCGAAGAGGATGAAAACAGTAACCATACACACTTAGAGCCTATTGGCGTACGAAATAACCTCAGTGTTCCCTGATTTTTAGAAATCGTGCGGGTTGTTTGGCTGACCAGATCACCGAAATATTCTATCGTCATCTTAAAATTTGAATTTGATCAGCAAGTTTCTAAGCTGCGCGGATTAGTGTATATCTGTTTCACTACTGAGGCGACAAAAAGTACCGAATGAGCTCATACTTGATTAAAAGTGAACGGTGCCCGCGCGAGTAATTTTCTTCCGTAATGCTTGCCCATGAGTTCCAGGGTGCTCACCTTGCACGTTGTTGTGTTTAAGCTTATTACTTTCCGTATCCGTGGCCATGGCCGAATCCACCGTGGCCGAATCCACCGTATCCGAAGCCACCATAGCCTCCGTGGCCGACAGCAACGACTGGGGCGGCAGCGACAGCGACCTTGGCGACTGGAGCAGCGACAACAGCGCCGTGTCCGTAGCCTCCGAAACCTCCGTGACCGAAGCCTCCGAAGCCAAGACCGTATCCGCCTCCGTATCCGCCGTAGCCGTGTCCGTAAGCAACTGGCCTGGTGACAGCGACGGCAGGGCCGAAGTGGTCGCTACGGTAGGTGTAGGAGCGGGCTGGGGCGTGGACGGCAACCTTGGCGACTGGGGCAGCGACGGCGACTGGGGCAGCAACGGCGTAGCCTCCGTGGCCTCCGTAGCCTCCGTGGCCGAAGCCTCCGTAGCCGAAGCCACCATAGCCGTGGCCGAGGCCGAAGCCATAGCCGCCGAGGGCCACTCCGGCGTGGGCGCCGTAGGCGACGGCAAGAAGAACGAGGGCGGCAAGCTGCAAGAAGAATAGACGTCGTGGTTAACACTGTCCCGGTTGTCACATGTAGGCAATGAGACATCTTAGATACGTTTCTGAACGATTCTTAGCTAACTCTACGGAATTGCTTGACTAACATCACTTCGGTCCAAGCTGCACGAATCCCTGGCCTTCCACAGGCTGCGCTGCATGGTATCTCAAATGTGCCCTGTCCCCCTTTCTAGCAGGAAATGTTGCTTGCGGTGGTGCTGAGTTTCTAGATTACCATTGACAGAGGTTTGCGGTACTGTTGCTTGGTTCAGTCGCCTCTAATCCGGGACCTTGGCAGAGACAAAGTTAGAAAACTGGATTAACTAATTAATTGTTGGCTACTAATCACTTTGTGATCAATTACCCCCTACAAGCATCACGATCAAATGAGGCGGTCATTCACGGGTGGGGTCGCCCAGGATGAAGTCACATTCTGGGGCCGTTACCCTAATGCGGTTACCCCCCGCAAAAGGGGGTCATGTGCAGCGGCGGTTACACAAGGGGCGGGTGGTGCAATTCGGCAGGTCTTTAGCACCGGGTGGCTGCTGAGAACCATACACCCGTAGCCTCCGTGGCCATAGCCGCTTGCTCCCGTGCCTTTCGTCGTAACCACCGCGGTGAGGAGGAACCAAACGCCGCTGCCGCGATACTCACAGCGTTCATGGTGGTTGTCTCGTTGGAGCTGTTGTCCGAACTGACTTGACGTGGGTCCGCGGCGCGCTTTTATACCTCCTTTCTCCGTCGCTCAGCAAGGAGGGGAGGCAACACGTTTTCGGTTATCGGTCGCTATCGGATGCCTGGGCGTATGTGGAATGGGCTGGCGGATCTGGTTCAGGGAGAAGGCGGAGGCCCCTCGGACAATGCGGCCCTACTGCGGCCAGCCGGCGTCTTCCCTTTCACTCGACCCCTTGGCCGGTCCGCTCGCCGCTACCCGCGGTGTGGCCTTCCTTCTTGCGCAGCTGGACGGCTAACGGCTTTTTTCCGCCGCTGCACCGTCCCGCGCTCTGGGATGGGCCGGTCTCCCACAGGGCGTCCAGGTCGGGATGAGGTCCGTCTGAGGAGGACCTTGACGTCAAGGTTCCGTTGGATGGAGGTGGCTGGGAGCGGGGATGCGCCGGCGGTAGACGGGGGAGGTTGGAGGCTGTACGGCGGTGTGGAGTTTGCGGTATTCAGTACGTTTAGGTGTGTGCTCTGGGTTGACGGATTTCGCTGTCGGGGCCTTTGTGAGATTGGGGTCATCAGCGGAAAGACGGTGTTTGTTTGGTGTCGTACCGGTAGGCTGTGGTTGACATGGCTTGCAGGCGGCGTGGTTCTGCGGTGGCAGCCATTCTGGTGGCCTTCCAGTTGAGTGCGAACGTTGTGCTGCATGCACTTCACATTTGCAAGAACAAGTAGGAATCCCCTTCAGCATTTTACCGTGACGTCATGTGCGAGCTGTGTATTGCTTTCTTGAAAGGATCAATGCGATGGTGCGATATTACAATGATATCGGGAACGGTTGTGGTAGGTAGACCACCAGCATGGTAATCCGAACCACGTCGGAATTACAAATCAAAGACAGACAGTTCGTTGATTTACATACACCACTGGTGTTCCTGGATAATTGCTGATTTAACTACTTAACTAAAAAATAAAGGCGGGGAGAGAGTTCACCTTGCGAAGGCTAAGCATGTTGACAAAATCCACGCTTTTCAATCGTATCTTACAAAAAAAAAAACAAAAAAACCTTCCCGTTAAAGGGTCTAAAGACATGCTGTTGCAGTTCGCGTCCCCGCGGACTTCTGGCCAAATGAGAGAACATACAATCCCCACCATAACCTCGCTCCTTGCAATTGCCATTAGATATTTGATCAGCCATGCTATAGGCGATTCACTATAGAATCGGTTAGTGAAAAATATTGTAGGAAAGTTTTAAATGCTCCTTTAATTAGGCAAACCACATTGGAATGATGTATATACCGCTCACAGCCCAGCACGTGAACGTTTGTCGCTTTGGGAAGTGAGCAGAGCATGCATATGCACGAACGCTTAAAATGGCAGCGGTCAGAAGCCCGTAATAAAGTTAACTTTATTTTGAAACACACCAAAGCACCAACATCCGCTTCTACGTAAAGCCAAAGTAAAAAAAAAAATCATGGTTTTTAATTAGAAAAGTTTATATTTATTTGATTTTAATCGGATTTTCTTAAAATTAAATATATTTAATTTATATAAGGTTTATTTGACTTACATGAGATTAGTTTAATTTAAATAATTGTAGGTAAAACAAAAGTGATTCTATATCACAAGATGTACTTTTAAATATGGGAGATTGGTGATTAATCCGTTTGATGACGGATTAATTAACATAAATCTTATTAACATTTCTTTATTGATTTAAATCCCGCCATTTTACAAAAAACGCAGCTTGATTTTAGTTTTGTTTGTGAGAAATATTAATTTGCTTCCTTTCCCGCGCTTTGATTTCCTTCCAATATGTCATTATTTCCCTTGTACTTGTTTCTTCCTTTCGATTTTTGATTTTTTTTTGCAATAGGACATTACGTGATTGACGAATGAATTGTAAGGCAACAAAGTCGGTTGACACTCCGATTCGCCCTGATGGGCATTGATAGTTAGCCATTTTCAGCCGGCCCTAAATATTTCGTGCTTGATGATTATTTTATTTAAATATGAAACAAATGCGCATAGAAAGAAAACCTCAAATGATAGACAAACTGTAAGCTCTTTTGGGGAGTATTTGTAGAATACTACCGAAAATACTTCTGACGGGTGACTCGAACTGCGGATCTTGCAACTCAAACGTCTTCTTATTAAAATACACTCCATATCCGCTCCACAAAGTCAGCTGTGTCTGTGAAGTTAAGATTGACCTAGATTTCATATAATATAATTGTACCTCCAGCGGTTTTATTAGCAACGTACTACTGCTTGGGACTAACGCACTTTTAGTTATTTTGAGTCAAAGTTACCCCCACTTTTCGCATTCTCTAGTAGAGCGCTTTAGAATCATTTTGGTGTTTCGAATGACTATAACCAGAATGAACTCTGCAATCACGCATGGTAGGGTATTTTTATTGTAATTATTCCGTTGGTTACTACTACATAGATACATTTAATATTCTAAATACGCTTTTTAAAGAATAAATTACTTCTTATTTTGGCGTAGAACTACGTCTTTCTCGGCACTTGGAAGGAGGTTTAAAATTTAGAGTTGATTTAATCGAAAAATTAATTATGGAAATGACGTCAGGTAATTTCGGGTCCCGTGACGTCAATTGTAACGCTAAATTTAGCAGGAGAAACTAAATCAGGTCACGTCAGGTCACGTGACATCGATGTCACGTGACCTGACGTCACGTGACATCGATTTGCTCGCCGTTATAAGCGGAGAAATTGAATTGGTGTATATACCACGAACGTCGGCTCACGTGACGTTAATTGTTTCGCCAAATTTAGCGGCGAAACTGAAGTGGTGCATACGTCACGTGACATTGGGTCACATGACATCAATTTCCCCGTCAAATTTAGCGAGAAAAACGAATTGGTGTATAAGTGATACGTGTGAAATACTCAAGAACCAAGTTTGATTAGGAGAACATTGAGGTATTTATAATTGATGACTTGCTCGACACGTACAGTAAATAAAAATATTTCAATACAGTCAGAGCGCGTTTACACAAAAAATGAATAAATTAATTTTTGACGTTAGTTTATATCTTACATAACTGCCACTAAGACTTGATTTTTCCAAGGTCATTTCCGAGAGCGCTACACTCTGCCTTATTAGTAATGCTAGAGCGTAAAATACTATTACCCTTAAGTTATGTCATGGTTGCGTTCATACAGTTATATAAATAGTCGACATAAATTCACAAATAACTGTCCCAGCACGGTTCTCTGCTGCATACCTGATTTAATTTGAATTAAAACAAGAGCCTGGTGATGTAAAAGAATATGCGGAGCACAAATTCGTCTGCTTCTTTTGCAAAACTTGCAGTGATTTCAGAAGCCGAGTTCTGATTGGCTCTAATAGAAGGATAGTGGGTAGACCTCAAGGCAGCTTGTTTTGAGGTTTACCCATCATCTTTCAATCACAGCCAATGAGAGCTCGGTGTTCTTCTGACGTCACCACGACCCCTCCAAAAGAAGCAGACGAACTTGAGTTCTAGAGGTTAGACATATGAAAAATGAGAAGTTTCGTTTTTTATTTATTCAATATGAAATATAATCAAAGGTTTTAGAAAAGTCAATAAAAATTGCATGAATATTTGTTCTGGTGTGTACGTTTTCATGAATCTCAATAGTTAACTCAAGAAAATGCGATTCGGATTGGAAAGGCCGTTGAAAACCGTGCTGGCTTACAAACAGAAAACTATTGCAAAAATAAGCTATTCAAAATTTGCCAAAGCGTAAAAGGTTAAAGTAATCGGAAACGTGTTTCGTACACTGATACCGCCTAAGTCTCGATATCGGAATAATTAAAATTGCCATTAAGTACAATTGTGTTTGGGGGAATTAGTTAACCAGGGTTTCTAAGTGATCTTGTACAAAAAAATAATAACATCATATGACAAGCAACAGGTCACCACGAAAAGATGTTCAATAGCTTTGGTTAACCGAACTGAGGCACCTTCAGGGCTAGAGGTGGTATCGGATTCTAGAAGATTTCATCAAATTTCTAGAGGGATAAGTACTCTTCCGTCCCCGTTTCTCAGCCTGTAAATTCTTAATAGGCTCTAATAGGCCAGTGGGTTTTGCTAAGCATTCAGTGTGTCGGAGTTTAACCTTGACCCAGCTAATAAAATGAAGTCATCAGAACTTATATGCATAAGAGAATATAAATTCATTTATTTAAAATAAACGTTGCTTTCATTTATAGTTACAAGGAAGGACATCGAAATAGCAGCGCGTGTGCTGATAAGCCCACTGCTTTATTGTTAGGTTCGTGCACGTTAGACAACATTTGAAGTAATGTAAAATTTGTAGTATTGAATGTTTTCAGCAACATGTTTATTATGAGACTGCTTAAATTCTCTCCTGTTTTTTTTTTTTTTTTTTTTTTGCAAAGGATGCACACGCTTTCGTTTCTGTTCAAGTTTCATCCGAGAGGTTGTGGAAATCTGTCATCAAGTGCCGGTAGCTTTTAGAGCACAAAATTTTTTTTTTACCTTTGCGAGTCTGAAATTTTACTGCATCTGGACGAGGGTTTGCTTCATCTCTTAGGTAATGCCCTCTTTTCTGCGCGTGTTTTATAGGAAATAGAGAAAAGAAATTCTGACAATCTGACTTTCCAGACGCTGATAACTTTCTCTTCCGGTTCTTTTTCAAGATTCCCCAGAAATGTTGGGGGTTCTGTAAAGCAGGAGGTTAGTTCGTCTAGACTGGTTTCCAAGGTGCTCACACCCTTGCGTTACCAAAGTGGGGCCAGCAGCAGTTTGCCCAGTCCTCGCTGAACCCTCTGGCCTCTTCTCTAACGTCTTTGAGCATCAACTCGCGCTTAATTGTTTTTTTTTTTTTTTGTTTGAGACTTTAGAGTGGCCTGCACCTCGTCAGTTTGATTCTGCTTTGCCGTGTGAACCTAATTGTATTTATTATGACGTTGCGTCCTTCGCACAATTTGTTTTCTATTTTTTTTCTGGCTTGATCCTTGTTTTCTCTTGAAGCAAAATCAAGGGGTT